GCTCGTCTGCGAAAGTCCCCAAGAGGGGATGGGATAGCGATTTGACTGGCTGCTATGGCCTGCACAAGAGACTCAATCTCCGCCGCCGGATCCAAGCTCTCTCTCCGGGAGCGTGATTTGTTGGACGCCGCTGGTGGCGCCATCACTAATTCTTTGCCGTCTCCAGACAACGCTAGAGGGATTAAAAACGTGAACCGACTCCCCTCATCGACCTTCGACTCCACCCTCAGCTGCCCACCGAGCCTGTGAACGAGTTAAGCCGAACGAACCCGACAAATAAAGAACCATCAACGCACTGCTCCACTATCCTAACCACCACTGCGAGTCCCAGTCCCGCATCGCTGCGGGAAATAGGCTTGAGCTCCATCGTTTCGACTTCCTCAAACTCCCGAAACATGCTCCCCAAGCTCTCCGCATCAATTCCACAACCGGTATCTGCCACGACGATTTCGATGACGGTTTCATTCAGACCGCGTGCGCCTTCCGGGTCCGCGAGCGTCGTGCAGCCAACAGTAATCGTTCCTTCCGACGTGTACTTCACTATGCGGCGGTTCACCGAAAGTCAAGTCAGCAACAATAAATACACGTACAAGCATTAGCGGTCAGATTTTGGACCACCGTTCGAATCTTTTTCACGTCGCCAATGACAGTCTTCGGCGAATCTTCAAGCTCTATCTTGAACGCAATATTTCGCCGTTGTGCCTCTCTGCGATAAAGATGTGTCGCATCCTCAATGGTGTCCCGTAAATTGAAAGCCTCATTGTTGGATGTCTCCTGTCCGCTCTCCAGGCGACTCAGATCCTGCAAAATAAACTAAGTGTGTCACCTTGAATCCACATACACTGATAACGTACCAACAGGTCATTGATCGTGAACAGCAGACTCTGTGGAAAGACGTGAGTTTCGATCGGTACCAATTCATTCAAGAGGCGTTGAACCTTGGATGCAGCATGCGAGCGGTTGAGATTGTCGCGGGTCTCATCATCCAACGGTCCGTTGAGTGCCATCTCCACATAACTGGGGCCACAAATCAGATACGCCTTCAAAACAAGGCGGTAAAAAAAATTACGCACTTAATGATGTGGTTCAACGGGGTTCGAACTGGCGATAGGGGCGTGAGAACCCCATAAGTGAACGTTTTATTTTCGACTCACCTTCGTGCGACGCATTTGAGAGCAGTAAATTCGTAAGTCGGGTCGTCTGGAGCGCGTTCTCCTTTAACCTCCACACTTTGATGAACTAGACGGCGGTTAAATCTAATCCCAAATGTCAATCGACATAGAATGGCGCACCTTGCCGTACACCAGTGCGAGCACGCCAGCCGTCTCAAGCTGCTCGTCCGTCCACGCGCGACACCGACCGACCTGGGTTTCCGACCAAACCGAAAATGACTTGCGCGGTTCAAGCATGGTGTCCGGCCGGGTTTTAGTATTGGGATTCCCAGCCCAGCGCACATGCTGCAGCTGCCCTTTACGAAGGACGCAAATGAAGTCCTTCCCATCGGCGGATAACGGCACACAGAGCATTCCGGCAACGACTTCGAGGCCCGCGAATTCCGCGAGGTCTTCAAAATCTTTGGTAATGGCGTGCGAAATTTGGATCGTGCTGGTTTCCAGTTAAGATGCACGAGAGAGATTTACAGTTAGGGTGTGATGCAGGAAAGAGTTGGCGAAGATACTGACGTGAACTGTTTAACTCGCAAATACGCCGCCATGGTGAGGATTTCCTGTCCGTGATCAATCGGTCCCAGCAGCTTGGCAGCTCCTCCAATCTACATAGACCTCCTAAGTACGAAGGAGTTGGAGCTTGATTAAGCCACAAACAACAAGAACTCCAAAATCTGCATCGAACAGGCGCAGAAGGTCATCAGCATCGCTTACAATATATCCCGCCTAAAGATTTCATGGAAATCTCCGTTGAGGTGGATCCGAAAGGTGCGAAAGCTTGACCCACAGGATGATACTCGGACGCCATCGTATTGATCTATATTGAGCGTTGGTATCGCAAATATGATCTCGCGTATTCGCGCACCAGTTTCCTCGTCGACAGCTGTTGAGCGTAATGGAGACGCTCAATGTTCCGCGATATTGACTGGCTCATGAGGCGCAGGATTTGCCGCACAGGAAAAGACACGCGCATGCCCTGTGCACCGTACGAGTGACAACTCACGAGCCCCCATAACCGACCGGACGCCATGATCGACTGCAAGGTGTAAGTGACTTGTATGTATGAAGAATAAATCAAGACACGCACAACAGACATCGAAGCCCGCACGCCCATGTTTTCTAAATCTGCACACATCCTATCAACGACTCCGCTCGCGCAAATGCCATACAGAACACACATTTAACATGGATTGGGCTCACAGCACGTAAGTAGCAATGGGTCATGCTCTGCGACACAATTGAAGTGAATTTCAAATATGAAGAACAGCAGAACGCACCAGAGGCGTCTTTAGGTCCTCCGCACTGCGCACGACAATTCGGGCAGTACTTTGTGAGCGGTCGTATAGTAACCGGACCTTGTCTATTGGCGGATAGTCAGTGTGAGGAAGATCGAATTACGGTTCAAAGTCGCACTGATCGCATACAACTGTCTCGCCTATTGCCACAACAATATAAGATTATCTTTGTCAGCTTGAAAGTTCAACGCACCTGCGCTGGAATATCGGCTGCTGGAAAATGCAGTCCCCGGAATATTTCATGGGTTTTATCCCAGTCCAGCAATTCTGCGACGACCTAGAAAGGTCACGGTAATGAGTCCCCAATCTCACGGCAATTCGTTCGGCTCATACCTGACCATTCCATGCCTCATCAAACTGATATACGAGCACGCGGTGGAATTGCGATAGGTCTTTGATCACACCGACCACGACCTGGAGAAAGGACGGGAGGTCCGGCGCGTCTCCAAGCTGCTCATTGAGCTGCCCCATCACAGCAAACACGTCCATCATGCCAACACTGCCGGGCGCACCACCGCCAGCGCGTTGCGCCCGGCGCCCACGCGTCTCTGAGGGCGGGGGAGAGGCGCTGTCCGAGCTCTCTTCCGGATGGATACGGGCGATGCGACGTAAACGTTCGAGTGCAAGCAGCGGTCTTGCGCGCGAGGTTGTGCTTTCCAAGATGTCCTCCGCGGTCGGTACGCTGGGTTCCTCATGCCCCTCCGCGGAAACAGGAATCAGATCTGCTTCGACCGCCCCAGCAGGCGGGATCGAGACCGGAGCCGGCGAATCGTCCGTAGCCGTGACTGTGTGCTCAGAGCCGTGTGGCGACCCAGCCGTACTTGCAGCGGTTGTACTACCCGGCGATTTCGGATCTGGGATTGCGTCTGGGACAGGGTACAGGGGGTTCAGCGAATCGCGCTCCAGTTCGAACTCCAAGATGATGAGCCCTGAATTATTCCCGCCTGCGTCCGACGGCCGGTGCATCGCGCACCAGCAAGTCCATGAGCGACGGTCGTCGCTAGCCTCGTTGTCAAGGGAGCTACTTCCCGGTGCTCCCCATCCGGAGAGCGAAAACACATGCGGCGATGCCTCTTCATCCTCCTCCGCGTTCTCAGATCGAGGGAGAAAATGGATGTTATCCCAGAGGACTCCAGCCTGAGAATCGGGAAGGACATCAGTGAAGCAATCTAGGGAGAACAGGTAGCGCGGAGAGAGGCCGAGAATTTCTTCGGCATTCTGGGCAATACAATAAGTGATAAGCAGATTAATTGTCGATAGACGCACCTCTGAGACTTGACGGACGAGCAGAATATCCTCGAGCTCATCGACAACGATAAGAACTCCGAATCCCTGCACAGCACCCGGCGTACGAATTGGCTGCAAATCCTTTAGTGCTTAGAAAAGGTGATTAGTGAGATACGCACCTCGTCTTCGCAACGGGCCAGTTTGCCCTCTCTGCCCACAATGACATGATGGCCGTGTTCGTCCTGGACGTGCTCAAAACGAACGGTGAGGAGATAAGCATTGCTGGCGTCTGAATCGGAGGCATGCTCGGAGCCTGAGCCGGATACCTGGGTGGACGACGAGCCATTTGACTCGAAAAGTCGATCATGAGCAGATTCGGAACCCTGAACAAAGGGGACGAGCTGGACGGGGACGGAGGGCCGGGAGGAATGGCGGACATCGTCGCTTGGGGGAGCAAAGCCGGGAAACAATATCTCAGACTGGCCAGCAGAAGGGCCCGTGCCCGTTATGCTACCCAGCACTGTCGCTGAAGCGGGGAAAGTGTCTCTGCTAGTACTGCCACGCGAGGGTACAGACGGAATTGTGGGGAGGCGGATAATGCCATGGCGGGAGAGATTCCAAGGTTCGGACTCGCCCTTGTCGGGAACTTCCTCCGGTGGCAGCGGGTCGTTGCTGACGGGAACCTGTTTCGGCCGGGCGCGAAGTTCTGGCGGCGGCTTCGTGGGGGATTTAGGCTCTGGCGCAGGAGAGGCGACATCCGCTACCGGAGTAGAGGCAGAAAAGCTTGCGAGGCGATCGGGGGGCAGCGGACGCTGGTTATTTGAAATCGTACTGAAAACACGGCGTAGATTTGGTCCAGAGTCCTCGCCAGGAAAGTGTCTGAAGTTTGATTTTGTACTGCGCCGTTTCCGGGTTCCTTTTAAAGGAAGATCGCCGAGCTTGAGCGAGGGGGTGCTCGAAGACTCTGAAAGGGATCGTGGTCTGGGGGCAGACTCTGTACTCCAGCCTTTAGGGCGACTTTCGCTCGTCGAACGGCGACGCTGAACATCAAGCATCTCCAGCTCGGATTGGCCATAGCGTTGAATAGAGCTGCTTAGGAGGGATCGGACGGGATACACATAAGACAATGGTTGGCCGTCCATGCTATAGCCAGCGCTCGAGTTTCGACCAACGCGGCAAAGAGTTGGCCTGGAGGCAATCAGAAATCTCCGCGCACTTGTTAAGTTGTTATCAGTGGCTGTGAAATGTGAAATTGAACATAATTTTAGGATGTTGGGGTAGGTATAGACATTTTACTTTGACAATCTTCGTCGCTCTGGTGGTCTAGTAGAATGATACGTGCTTTGGGGACTTCGCTCTGATGCACGGGGTCCCGGGTTCAAATCCCGGCCAGGGTCCTTTTTCATTCAGTTATGGTGCTCACTTTGTTTTTTTAATCTTCTTCACTAGGTAGCTCCGACGGAGCTTGCTTGCTGGAAAGTTCATTGTTGAAATGGTGTTGAAATGGTGTTGGTTCAAAAGTAGAGGTAAATGTTAAGTAAAAATCCAGCAAGATCTAGAACTCAATGTCGGGAGGTTTGGGATCACCGCGTTGTACAAAAGTGGTACTTATGAGGGTGGAGAAACCTGCAATGGCTTAAACTCAGTCTGCAGAAGCGTTCAACGTCCGCTTGTGTTGGGTTTTGGTTCAGTCGTAGATCTTCAGACCTTCAAGTGGCAGCAAGGTTCCGCTCTATAGAGACGCAAACACGCTGCTTTTTCTTACTCTTTTGCAGCACATTTGTAGTTCAGTGAACTTCAATTTTCGGCTACTAAACCGCAAAACTCCACAACTCCGCAACGACATCCCCACCCAATACCTCTTCCTCCCGGGGAAACAAATGAAGGTCCTTCCCCATTTCCACCGCCACCGGTGGCTCCTTCTTGATCTTCCGATTCGCATCCGCATCGAACAACTACAATGCTCATGAGCCCTCTTCGCGCGAACAAAGACGAAGAAACACCTACCGTGCCATAGGTATGATCCAAAAAATCCTCCATTGAATAACTCGGCTTCGTAAACGCTTCCGAGAAGATCTTGGTGAGCGTCGACACCCCTGAGAGGTAGTGCTCCCGATGCGAATTGAGCTCCCACAACGAACTCTCGATGGCGTGGGTGAGCAGTGGGTTCGGTTCTATCGCGTCAAAGGGATCCTCTGAGGAGCCTTCGGGGCGGTGAATCATGGCCATGAGCGCCGGGTGCCGTTTGAGGACATTGTAGGTAAATGGGATGATCATGATCACCGCTGCTGGCGGTGCGGAGAGCGAAAGGCGCGCGAGGCGTTTGATGAAGGAAGCAAGGAGGGTCGCGGGAATGTGTCTGAGTATGGGGTTAAGCGAGTACGATTAGGAAGAATGAACAAACATACGTCGAACTGAGGAATAGCTCAGTTAATCGGAAGAACCGGGCGCGATGTTTTGAATGCAAGACGTCTCGGTCCAGGAAAGCATATAGCTTTGTGTAGAACGAGGGATAATCTCTGCGAGCGCGATTGAGTGGCCGTCCAAAGGGCTGAGCAAAGAACCTACAAATTATACTCCTTCATAAGCACGAAAAGGGCGTTGAGCGCAAGAAGCCCAATGGATCCACCTATGGAATGATTAGGCAACACATAAAGAGTGGTAACGGAGGCGAACACATACCAAGGTCAACACTATTACCAACCCAATCCATTATCAACACCGGCCGCGTCAGATGAGGCATGACACCGCGATGCATCACATTGAGCGCGCGCTGGGACAAACTTTTACTCGTTGCCACGTCCCGCACCGCGGACAGTTTCGGCAGTAGCGCCAGCCATACGCGAGTAAAAACCGCCCGATGCGACGGCAACGAGTGCAACGACTGATGCAGCGTTAATTTATGCAGCCTCGCACCCGGTATTTTCGGTTTTTCCGCGTCTTTGGCCGACGTATCCTCCTCAAAGAATTTCCGCCAGTCGTCGTCCTCGCCGGCATCCTCCTTGTCCGCCTCTTCGTCCGAGGACACATCGTCCACGCCGGAAGACTTTTTGGAAGGTCTCGGCTTCGGTGGCTTTACCCCTATTTCAGATACCCACCACGCATTGAGCTCGGCCTTTTCGGTGGGGAAGGTATTGAGGCCTTCCAGGATTGTCAAGAGATTCGCTGGCAGGTCGGGATGCTCAGAGATGGATGTGGTGGTGATAATCGACCTGTAAAGTATGAGCTTTTTAATTCGTTCAGGCCCGATGAGAATAGCGTACCCGGCTTCACGCAGGAAAAACCATCGCACATCGTCGTGGATGCTGAACCACGTTCCATGAAATAGATGGAGGACGTCGGCGTCGAGGACGCCCTTGCTAGTCTGGGCGGCACGTCGAGACGTGGGACATAAGAGTAGGGAAGATACAATCTTGCGGAAATGCGAGACGTGGAATTGAGGGCGCGACTCAGAGCTGGCAGCCGTCGAGAGATGTTTTTGAAGCGAAAATAATATCTGCAGCGCGGATATCTGGACAGAATTCCATAAGCACGGAACGAGTCTACCAGAAGGATAGGGATATGTACACGCAGCAATTTTTCCTCGTCTTTCAGGAGGCCACATAGAAAATCGACATAGGAATTCAGCCGGTCCCATATCCAAGCTTTGACGACCTTGGCCGCTTCGTCCCCACCCGTGGTCAGTTTACCGCCGGTTATTAGAATAACAAAGACCCTGTATAAAGCATAAATAGCCTTTGAAGTGTCCTGCGCATCGTCGGCGGTGAATGCGAGCTCCAAGATGTCCGCCAATGGATTTAACGAGGTATTGGCGGCGGCGGCGGAAATAACCTGCTCCTCGAGGCGTTGGATCGATTTCGTGAATCCGGAATCGTTCTGTATTTTGCGCTTCTTGCTCGGAGGCGGCAGCGACGGTGCGGGGCGCGTCATTCTTTTGGGAGAAAGAAAATTTGACACAACACAGCCACACCTGTCAACAATATGATCGATCGAAGTTCGCGTCAATCCTCGAGTTGTCCTTTTGCCTCGAGTAATGTGCATTGACTGCTAACGATGGATCATTGTCCAGTAATTTTAAGAGGTGAACTACGAATCGCCTCCATCAGGGGAGTTGCATCGTCCTCTCTAGGCCAGGACGACCAAAGCGTGAACTGCAGGTCGGATCCCAAACTTGTGTACGCAGTGTGTAACCAGCGGTCACCGACAAACTTGAGGAGACGTTCGTCGTTGCTGTGAACATATTCGTCCCAATCCTGACCATCCCGCTTCTCGTTCTGGAACACCTCTCCGCAGAGCCTATTTGCGATACGATCAAGATCGTCCTTCAACTTCTCTGGACCTCCCACGACCAGCATCTCTAAACTTTTCATCCCCATATGCATCACGCATGACAGGAACACTTCCTGGGCGTCTGCGTGAACAGCCTGGAAGGATGGAGTCGAATGTAGGACGTCCCTCCACGACGAAGGATTGAGAAATTGATCCTGCGCTTCCGACATACTTAACTGCTGGACTCTGTCGTCATCCTCCTGGACATAGTTTTTGAAAAACTGTGGTATTTCGTTGGAAACGAATTCCAGGTATTTGAAGCTGTTGCGGTCAGGCATGCAGTATACAAACCACTTGTAGCGGATGACGCTGCTGAGAGGTTTATAGTGGGGAAGTGGAAGATAGGCGAGCTCCAGGGAGTGGTGAAAAAGCTCTCCATAAATGACCCACGACAATAAAGTCGTTTCGGGATCGTTGCACGCGGTCATGGGACTTAGGGTCGCAGGGCCCGCCACAAGGTCGAGGCGCCGATTGACGGGATTGAGTACGTCGCATTTGTAGGTGTATAACTGTCGAATGTCGTCCATGGTGAGCTCCGAGACATTGATTGCCAGTTCCAGGAGTTTGTCCACACCGCCCTGTATCGCAGTCTCCAGTGCGAACCGCCGCTCGTCATCTTGGACAGCCCAATCCGCAACCTGCCTGGCGGTAGCGGCAATGAGAAGGTGGGGATGGGGCCGGAAGAACACACGCCCGGAATTGGCGGCAAGTCGAGGTATGAACTTTGGATTAGGATTCGCGCATGTCCGGAAGAGAGTGCGACAGGTGGAGAAAACAGAGCAAAGATCTTCGAGAGAATGGAGAAAATCCGGAAGATCCAAGAGAAGTTCGGCCGGGAGGGCCACTAGCGACATGACACGGATTTTCGTCTGAGTTATGGACGTCGCGGTAGTCTAAAAACAGTGAGGCGATGGACGTGGGAGAAAAAGCGCGGGTTTCTTTTTGCGGCGCAATTCTAGTCTATTAGTTACCGCGCCTTGATTACCGTTAGGTCGCCTTATTATATAAGCATCCGTTTTGGGTACTCACGTGCTGCGGTCGGCAAATCTTTGTTGACGCGTATCACCTTGACGCGCTGTCCCGACGCGCGTCTTTCGATGGCTCCGTCTCGAGGCCGCCGCTGGCAAACACCTCTTGGCCATGCGACCATTCAACGCATCGTCAAGGCAAAAATTCCCAGCTGGAAGGACGGTTTATTCACCTGGCAGCTCACAATCGTCGCCTGGATCCTCGACGGCGAAGATGTGCTTTGTATCACCGCGACCGGCGATGGCAAGTCCGCGCTGTTCACCGTTCCAATTCTCGTACTTCTGGAGGTGGCCCAGAACCCGGGAGCGTACTCCGGCTTCGGTCATCAGAAGAAACCTGTCTGTCTGGTGATTTCGCCCACGAAAGGTCTCTCGGCAAATATGGTACACCATCTATCCCTATCTATCCTCGTCTGTGGGAAGAGTATTCAATTTATGTTACAGATCACCGAGCTCTCTGTCCACGGTGTCAAGGGCTTAGCATGCACGAGCGAGGCACTTACTGAAGCCCGTAGAAGTGGCCGTAATCTGAAGGAAGAAATCGCCGAGTGCCAATGGCCGGTGGTTTGCATAGATCCAGAGCACTTGATGGAGAAGCAGTGGGAGTTTATCACCGATTCACGGCTTTTCCGTGAGAACATCTCTTTTGCTACCGTCGACGAGACTCACTTGATTGACGAGTGGGGCGACGAATTTCGGCCTTCCTTCCGGCACATTGGACCATTCCTCCGCGGCCGCCTCCCTCAGCACATCTCTGTTTCTGCTCTTACCGCTACCCTCCGGCCTGGAGCTCCCACACAATCCATCTGCCGCGCCCTCGGTTTCCAAAAGGACATGTTCCATCTTGTCCGGCGGTCAAACGAGCGCACCAACGTGCAGTTCCTTCTCTCCCCTCTCACCCATGGGCTCGGGGGCGACTATTTCCCTGACCTCTTGCAGTACTTGAAGGATAATCGCAAATGTATCATATACTGCGCCACCATCGAGCTCTGCTGGCGCGTCTATGTCTACCTCCTCCGACTCCTTCCTCCGGGCTCACG